AAAAGACCTTAAAAACATTATAAAAAAATAAATAAAGGAATAATTAGATAACAAAAAAATAATGGTCACTACCATAGCTTTCTCTCCTTGGCGACTCTAGCAATTTACAATGAAATAAAATTTTTGATAAGATTGACAGCTAACACAATGGCACGTTCCACGTAGGCCTATATTGGCCCATTCAATGTGCAACAATTCTTTCAAATACATAATATGCACTCCTAATTTGCCAGAAGACCACAAACACATAAAGACAACCACAGGGCACAGAAAAACAGTTTGCTCCGAGGAGTGGTCAGGCGTGTCTCAAACCAGATCTTCATGGAGACAATTAGCAGGAAGACCTTGAGGTGGACGCTGGTAAGGAGAGATGAGCAGCTATGGACATGTGCGCCTTCTATGATTCTAGCTCTGGATCCAAGTAATTCGAAGTAAAGACAACCACTGAGACTGCCTATCACACTTGTTGTTGAAAGAAAAATCAAACAATCTGGTACAATAGGATTGAAATAAAAACAGGAACAGAACTCTTAGAGTTGATTACGTCATACTACAACTGGAGACACATTCAGGTTAACGATTATCACCCTGGAACCTAGAACTATTTTTGCTAAACACTGTCAGCTGATTTCAACTATGACCAAGATAAAACTGTTGACTTATTTAACACCTCATCGTCTTTGAGTTATACACTACGAAACATAGCAGACACCTTACTATATCTAAACCATTCTAGCAGATTTTAATAATGTAAACATTCTTAAACAGCTTAAATTTCTTTATAACACTTTTTGCAATTTCTGTCTAGGAAATGAAACGTTGATGGAAAAAAACAACTTTTCTTTATCTTAGATACATGTTCATAGCATACACATTATATGTCATGCACTCACTTGTAGGCTGTGGGGCTCAGGTGGATTCGACCTGGGACCCCGTGACTCTCCATCCTGCTGGCTGTGTTGACGGTGTCACCGAACAGACAGTAGCGCGGCATCTTTACGCCAACCACCCCCGCCACAACCGGCCCTGTGTGTACACCCACGCGAATCTGCGGACAAACAACACAGGGCACTGTTCAGTGCGTAGACAGGTCAAAAACATAGCAGTGTTCAGTATCTTTCGCAATCTGCCCTTTACCTATCTTAAAAGAGACAATATATAGCACGCTACGAAGACAGCGGAGCTAATTGTCGGGAGAAAAAGACTCGTTCTTCAACAAGCTGCTGCTCAATTATTATACTTACCCCCAAAAGCAACATTTGTCAGGCAAGATAAACTGTTTCATTCTTTAAAAATTATGTCCAAATTACGTATCTTTTACTGCATATCTCAATTCCTCTGTACAGTTGGTCAGCGCGTCACTTTCCTCTCAACTGTGACCGTTATGCCATGTGTCCACCAAAGTAGAAACGACCCGATTTTTTTGTTATCGGGAGGAGGCAATTCGGTCTGTTTCTCTCTGTCATGCGTGCACAGGTCAACGGTTAAAAAGAACAATACGGGAATAACAGAATATGAATGATTTTTAAAGAAGTAGAATTGTGAATATAATAGTATGCATTAAATGCATTTAAATTTTAAACCGAACATTTACATGTTGACGGGTCTAATTTTGAGTCGCAGATTCCGAAAATAAAAACTCTACCTGATTTTTAATACGGGGTGCCCATTATGGATGGGATCGGCGTGTCGGGCCGATCGTACAACTCTGTCGCCTGAAGACAAACGATCGCCTCCGACCCGACACGAAGCCATCCGTAATGGGCACCCCGTATAAGGTAAAAACCATTGCTTTCTTTCAACTATCTATTTCCCGAGACCCGGAAGACTTTGTTCGGCTGGTTTTTGGTTCGATGAATTCACAAGCGTATACCCAGTGCCTATTAGCAGGATGGGTTCGGTTCGGAGTGGAAGGCTGCGCTAGCCAGATTGAGGGCGCAAAGCGACCACCGTGGCATAAACCAATCACTCGACTCGCAGCCAAGAAAGGAAATGCGTTTGTTTTCAGGCCGTGAATCGGGCGATCGGTTGGCGATCGGTTGGCGATCGGTTGGCGATCGGTTGGCGATCGGTTTGTAGATACCTCAGTGGGCACCCCGAATAATTATTAGACTCCACTCCTTTCCACCGACCTGTAGCGGGAGTCCAGTGGCCGGAGACTTGACCAGCCCGGCGTCCTCGATCATGTCCAGGGCAAAGTTGGCCACCGGCTGCGCGTGCATGGCTGTTCTGTCCGGCACTCCGCTCACCACCATGTAGGCATCGCCGATTGTCTCCACCTGGAGGGGGAGGGGTGGAGAGGGGGAGCAAGATGTTGGGGGAGAGAGGGAGGGG